CCTGTACGTGTACGTCATGGTGCTTGGACCATGTGGGATCTCCCAACAAGTGGAACTTGTGGCTGAGTGCTAATACAAGCTCCCAGTATTGCACCCCTCATGTTTTGTAGGATAGAAAAATTGGGATCCTACTTATTGAGCTGTAGTGGAGTTTTTCTACAGTTTTCGTAGCCTATAGCTCTGTGATGCAGATATACCACTCCACAAATTAGCTACCATTTGATCCATTTTGCAACAGACTCTTCTGATTTTCCCTTTCATGATCCTCAGCCTCTTGAAATCATTCCACTGAATTTCCTCAACAAGTGGCTGAGTGCCAAAACAGCACTGAGACAGACCTGCCCTAGTCTCCCAGAGCATTCCATAACCTGGCAGGGGTCCTGAACAGTGCACTTCAAATGCAGGGTCCCCAGCTGTGCTCAGCTCTCCCACCTGAAAGGAAGCCCCTCTCTGGCCTGCACGTCCTAGAACCACAGGTGGAGCTTCAGGTCCTACTGTGTTATGCTGAGATGCCCCAGTAGCCCATCTCTAAAAGCCCCTTGGAGAATATTCCTCAGTTGAGCAGTCTTTTGAGATGTGACTATACTTTCTGCTCCCTTGGCTGCAGTCAAACAGAAAACAGGCCCACAGGCAGCCTGGCTGTGGTCTGAAAAACAAGAATGCGAGTGAAGGAGATGGTGTAACTCCTACTTATGGATCCACATATTGCCTCCATTGAATTATACATTTCTTTAGGATGACAGAGAGTAATTACAGACTGTTCGATCTTCACTAATTTAAATGCGTTCCATAATAGCCAAGTCCCCAGTCTCTCCCTTGATTGGAATGAATCTGACCAAATAAGAATTTTTCTCCTAATATCTATGCAATAGTATACATTTTTTCATCCCTGATTGGATGCTTAGGACACACAACAAAGGTGGTTTGCCACCACAAAACCTGATGAAGGACTTTCAGGTTGTAGAGACCAAAAGTCATTGTATAACAGTTGCCCCTCACGGGTCTATTTTCAACCCCTCCTCCATTCTGTCTCTCTTTCTCCTGTCCTTCAGAGCAGGTTTCTACTGCACTTATTTTTAGTAGGGGTATCATAATTCCTCTAAATGTTCCTTGACCCACAGGAATGGACCCAGACTTATTTATGGCTTCCTCTGCTTCCCCTGTGTCTGAGGTCATCATGCCCTACCCAGCACCATAGGTGGTATGCCAGGACATCAATACCTAAATCTCCACCCATTACCACCCCACAGTGATGCAAATTTGGATATAATGTACTTGGCAGTTTACACTTTTCTCAAGCAGGAGCAGCTGAAGTTCTTGTCTTGGATGAGAATTGGCGGGGACAGGTAGAAAGGAAGTGACACCCATGGTCATTAAGACTTTCTCTTTCCCATGTATGTCCACTTGTGCATAGGATGTTATCTACCATCTTTACTTTCATGCTATTTGTGGCAGTGCTGACTCACTGAAATATACTGTGTTTTATTAAGCTCCCAATATTGCGACCCTCATGTTTTGTAGGATAGAAAAATTGGGATCCTACTTAATAAATTGTGGTGGAGTTTTTCTACAACAATTTGCATAGCCTATAGCTCTGCAATGCAGATATACTACTCCACAGACTTTTTTGTTTGCTCATTTTATGAAAGAATCTCTAGAAGTCACGAAGGGTGTAGCCAGCCCCTTCCCAGGCCAATCCCCAGCCTCTCAAGTTTCCCCAATGGCATTCCTTCTCTGCAGCTAAGGCTCTACTGATAAAGAATGTGGAATTCATTGTCCACTGGACCTTCCCTCCAGGGCTGCCCTGTAGCATGCAATTTATTGCTGGTAAGTGAGCAGCTGTTATCAGTCCACACTCAAACTGCTACTCCATCCTTACTTCTTAAATGTATTCTTGAATAGCCCACTTCAGCTCTAAAAACTGCACACATAAAGAGGGACATGAATGGAATATCAGGCCTCTCTGCCAGGAAGAAAGCAAGGGGTGTCAGCTCTCTGTAGGTCTCTTGGCCCCACCTTCCACCCACAGTCACACACCAACTTTCCAAACCAGCTTGTATGTGATAAGAAACGCTGCTGGAGTCAGTCATCAAAGGTTGACACGGGCCAGATGGCCATTCCTCTGGGTTGCATTCTGATCACGTCTCACTGAGCAGTGCACGGCCTGGGCCGAGCCCTTCTCCTCAGTGCCCCAGGCTGCCCAGTCCGTCTGCTCCCTGGCAGGAGACCCTCCCGCTGAGCTGGAAACCTCAAATATACCCATCAAACCCCTAAACTCTCCTTTGTTCTCCAGGACAGAAGGTAAGGCACAGGTCTGAGCCCCATTGAGAAAAGATGCAACAGACAGGCATCTGAGAAGAAACAAGCCCAGGCGCCAGCACGTGAGGTGGTCCTCATGCCCCCTGAAGTCCTTGTCACACATGCCATCCAGAGACACGGGTGCTTCCAGCCATTCTACCCTCACACCACACAGACCACCGCCTACTCTGGGCTCTTTCCTTTTCTAGAGCACACTTCTTCTTCCCTGCCTGGGGGCATGTGCACTTGCTGGGCCCCCGCCCAAAATAACATCCCCCTGGTCTCCAGCTGCTGTCCTTTCTTATCCTTCCCATCTCAGGGCCCCTCACAGAATTCCACTGCAATCTCCCCACCTAAAGTAGCCCCTCACCCCCTCACCCCATTTGCATCTAATTTTGTCACCCTGATTATTTCCATCTATACTCTTTCAGGTAGTTAATGGGTTTAGGTATTCGATAAGCTGGCCTCTGAATAGGAAATACGAAGCTCTTCAGTGCCCCCTGCCCTGCCCCCGTGAGGTCAGACGCCTCCTCTGTGTTGTTCACATGATCCTCAGACCCTGAAACACTGACAGTAACATCATAGTGATGACACTCAATAAATAGCTATTGGATGAGTGTTGCAAGAAGAAACTAAGCTTTTATAATGGTTTCTTTGTCCTCTTGAAAATCTACCACAGGATGTCCAGGCTCAGTGTCTTTTTAGGTATTCTTCTGTGTATTATGTAGGGTCTTGCCATCTGTGGCACTCTGGAAAGATGTTCTAGTCTGATCTGAGTGACCCACCACCATCCTGCAGTCCCTCTTCTCTGCTCTCTTCTGGAATTCCCACTGGACAGATGTTGGACCTTGTAAGTCTATGCTTCATTTTCTTAATTTTCCTTCATACTTCCTAGTCTTTGTCCTTAGGTGCTGCTCCAATTTTCAAGGTGCAAATTTTCTCCTCAGCTACGGTCATTCTGCTATTCAGCCCATTTTTTGAGAATTTCATTTCAACAACGATTATTTTTCATTCCAGGAATTTCCAGCTGGCTCTTTCATGTAACATTGTTCTTGTTTTCTTCTTCTTCGTAACACTTATTGCCAAATGAGGTATTTGTTTATTTCTTTACTTATTTATTATCTCTTGCTCCCTGCACTAGAACCTTAGTTCTAAAAGACCAGGAACTATTTTGTGGATTGCTGTATTTTCAAGGCATAACATAGTACTTGGAACAGAAGAGTGCTCAGAAAGAACTTGTTGAATAAATTGAAGGAATTAATGTGATATCCTTTAGTATCTTTCTAAAGATAGTAATTATATTTCTTTTAACACATTTTCATTGTCTCTATCACTAAATGTTCCTTGGGTACTGGTTCTATAACCCACTGATTTTTAATCTTTGTGGTGTTGGTTTTTCTCAAAGTTTAATGATTCTTGAAGCCACCAATTTTGTGATTCTTGTCTTGATGTTTGCAGAATCTGCCAGCCTGTCTGTGGCAGCTGCCTTCTGCTCAAAGCCACATTCTCCTTTTAGAGGCTGGTTGTGGGGTGCTGAGAGTGTTCTGGATGGGATATTCACAAGTTCTGGGTCCTTCCTGGGTGTGACCGGCCACATCTGGGGCCCCGTGACCCTTAGGCTGGACTCGCTGCTCCTGCCCAGCTAGCAGATCCTTCCAGTCACTGCATGGCATGGGAAAGGGGGGATGCTGGAGGCCAGCACCCAAGCTGCTCCTGCTGTAGAGAATCCCTCTTAAGACTGAGCGATTCCCAGGACTCCCATCCGCACCTGTTTCTGCTTCCTCTGAGATCCTTCAAGCCTCCCACCTCCTCCACCCATCATTTCCTGAGCATGTTTTGGGCTGTGACTTCTCTATCAAGTTTCATCTTCTTTCTGACTTTTAATAATTTCTGGTCAATTAACACCACCCTTTCTTGTTTTCCAGATTGTTATGAGTTTTCAAAATATTTTTTCTCTGTCATTTCTAGGATTTTAAGGTGAGAAAAGAAGACTAGAAACGTGTGTTTAGTATGCTATCGTGATCCAATCTCCTCTCCACTTCAGGAATGCAGCATATGAGGCTCAGAGAGGCTAAGTAACTTTTCAGGTTCACACAGCTAGGAAGTGTGTTGGGCTGGCTTGTGTCATGATGAAAATGAATTATCAGTTGAGATTGGCTTGATAATGATGGTAGTAGCACTGAGAAGGATAAGTTTTCTGTGTTCACTACAGAGGCCTTCCTAACTTCAAGCTATTGGATGTATCTGGATTTTCAGTCCAAGAAGAATGAGATATGGCTCTCCTAGGTATCACAAGGCAGTTCAAGATTGCAAAAATTCTTTTATAGAAAAGTCTATTTCATTAAAAACAGTGTCTCTTATGAAGATTACTCTCTGATATAAAGATCAGCTTTGCACACATTGCATGCTATACTATGAGGCAGCACAGCTCATACTGCTTAATTCCAAAGATAACTGACTGGAATTAAACACACTCATCTCTTACTGCTGTCTGCTCTTGGGTTTTCAAAATGAGGATTCTAATTGCATTTTCTCATGGTTATAAGTGGTGCATGATAGACTGTCATTAGTTAGTAATTACTGTGAGCATTTATGGGATGGTGTCTCAAAAAACAATATAACCCATACACCTCTAGTTTGAGCAAGATTTCTGACCACCCTGGATCTTATTTTGGAGCTTTGATCCAACAGATCCTGTTGCTGTGTTCACTCTGCAGCACAGATACTAAAATTGGAACGGTACAGAAGATCAGCATGGTCCCTATGCAAGGGTGACTCCAAATTTGTGAAGCATTCCATAAAAAAAAGATCTTTTTGTGCTCCACACTTTTCCCTCGAACTCCTGCTTCAGCTAACATTGCTCTGTGACCCACGCTCTGTTTCTACTCTCCTCGAAAGTTTTCTCTCTTGTCCCTTGGAAGCAGAGACTCTATCCACATAAACTAGATGGAAACAGTTGTTTCCAAAATCAGCCAGTAAACTTTAGTTAATTGTTGCTGATTCTAAGGAAATAAGAAAAAATCATTTTCTGCCAACAAAATCCGCTATAAACAAGGCTGGTCTACCTCCCACATGGTAACACACTAGGAGGAATTGAATATATGGGCGCTGCTGAAGAAAGGGAAGCTACAGAAAATTTTTCCATGAGAAGATATGACAAAACTTATGGGGGATATTGAGAATGTAAGTCCTTGAACTGAGACTGATTAGAAAAAAATTTATGAAAGGATTGTCTGCCTGAATAATAGAGTAACTAGCGACCTTGAACACAGAAGGAGTGTAGAATAGGAGTGAAACAATGAAATCTTTTTAGAACAGAGAATAATACTCATAAGAGGCCATTTTTAAATGAAAGATAGAATGTTCTATAATAGAAATATTGGGGGCCTGAACGCCCCTGTAATTCATAGAGAGAGGAACACCAGTGGCCTTGCCTAGAAGCCCACAGTTAAGAGAAGGGAGAGCGTCTTGAAACAAGATTATTAATTTCCCTGGAATGAGGCCTGTGTGACATCCCTTTGCAGAGCTTGGCCAGATTCTTACAAGATCACTTTGAACAATGAAATCTAATGAATATGCATAAACAAAAGGCAAAGCACATCTGGTTACACCAACAAGATGTTGAGTTATTCACTCCTTAAAACAAAAACACCATGTTATCCTGCCTTCCATAGATTTTGTAGTATTTTCCCTGATTAATAAAGATGTTTTCATCTAATATTAGTCAAAGCCAATTAAGCATGAAATACTGTAGGGCTTTGATGGCAATAAGACAAACATTAAGTGACAACAGGGGAAAAATAACTATTCAAATGTAGTTCAGGAAACCACAGTAGACTTTACTGTTGCTCTCTACCCAGCATCCCTCCCCTCCTTGGGGATACTCTATCCTTCTTCTTGGTGCCCACCTTTCCCTTTGGTGAGCTTCCCCTACCCCTTTTCATAGGCGCTGGCAGGATTGCTGGGCAAAGACTCCAATGCAGCAGTTTTCCACCTACCCTTCTTTTTTGGGTTGGAGGTGATGGGGGTTTATCTTTCCCCATTGGTCACAGCTTTAAGAAAATGACTCTAGAAATACTGGCAGAAAAATTAAGCTTAACTTTTGTTGTCATTGTCCCTGAAAAATCTTATTGGCAGTTTTTCCTTTTGAGTTTTCTAAAAAAGGGGCTTAATGAGTTAAAAAAAAAAAAGCAACAATTCCACACTTGAGTATTCATGTACAAATGACGTGAAATTCAGAGGGATGATGAAAATATAGCAAAAGAAATTTTTTTTAATCTTGGAAAACAGGAAAGAAGGAATACAATGAACAAGGTAAGTATTAAATAGATTAAATAGATTGTTCCTTGAAAAGAAGGGACTAGAGTTATATGTCAAAAGGTAGATTATAATTCTTATGTTCCAGTATGTAGTGTTATCTTGGGGATAAGACACTAGACCTGTTGCAGATGACTTTTAGGAGTAAACCTGTTATGGTATATGTTTGCTCTCAGTGATCATATCTACAGCCACAGCTTTAACAACCACTGACGACAGCTGTTCTGGTTATCTACTGCTGTATATAACAAGCTATCCCAAACTCAATCTCATAGAACAACAACCATTTTATAATTTTATAATTTTGTGAATCAGGAATTCAGGCAGGACTCAGCCGGGGCATTCTGCTGCACATGCCAGCTGGAATTACCAGGCTCTCTGGTCTAGTGTGGAAGACAGTTTAACTCATGTGCCTGGTGCCTTAGCTGGTATTGTGTGAAGGCTGGGCTCAGCAGGGTGCCTCTCCCTCTCCATGTGGTGCCAGGCCCTTCTCCATGTGTTTTCTCCAGAATAGTCGTCAGCTTTCTTATGTGAAAACTCAGGACTCTAATGGCAACTGTTCTGAGAGACAGGAAGAAGCTGCCAGTCTCTGTAGGCCTGGGCCATAAACTGGAACACATGTTTTGGTATATGTATATACTGTGAAATTATTACAACAAACAGGCTAGTTGATTAACATTCATGTTAACATTCATGGTAGGTGATTAACATCACCTCATATACTTATCTTTTTTGTGTGTATGGTGAGAATGCTTAAGATTTACTCTCTTAGCAAATGTCAAGTACACAATACAGTATTATTAACTATAGTCACCATGCTGTTTTTGTACATTAGATCTCCAGAACTTAGTCATCCCTCATAACTGAAGCTTTGTCCTACTCTCTGGTAACCACCATTCTATTCTCTGTTCTATGAGTTTGACTTTTTTAGATTCCACATATTAAGTGATATCATATAGTATTTGTCTCTCTGTGCCTGGCTTATTTCACTTAGAATAATGGCATCCAGGTCCATCTGTGTTGTCACAGTTAACAGGCTTCCCTTCTTTCTTCAGGCTGAGTAATAATCCATTGTGTGTGTGTTTGTACATACATTTTCTTCATATATTATCCATCGATGGACACTTAACATTTATTCTATATCTTGTCTATCGTGAATAATGCTGCAGTTAGCATGGGAGTGCAGATATCTCTCCCAAGATACTGATTTCATTTCCTTTGTATATATACCCAGAAGTGGAACTGCTGGATCCTACAGTAGTTCTACTTTTTAATTTTTTTAGGAATCTCCATTCTGTTTTCCACAGAGACTGTACTGTCCATTATGTTTTCATTTCAGTCATATTTTTCATTGTTACAAGTTACTTTGGTTCCTTTTCTGATCTGCTTGGATAGTCTTTGTGAGTTCTGATTTCATACTCTTACTCTCAGGTTTTCCTTTTATCTCTTCACATATAACACATGCGGCTATTTTATTCTCTGTCTCTGATAATTCCAGTATCTAATGTCTCTGGGGGCCTACTTCTGCTGTCTTGTGTCTCTTCTTGTTCTCATTCATGTTGCCTTGTTTCCTTGTGGCTTTACTTATTTTTTCTGTAAGTTACTTTGAAGGTGAATAAAATAATCGTGTATTAGATTAAACATTTTGTTAGAATTTTGTCTATCCACTTCATTTATGATTTGTGCATATATTATGTTCATATGTGAAACTAATCTATAGTTTCATATTATGCAGACACTCATAAAGATGGCATGCAGCTAACCCTTGCTGATTTCCTGTCTTCACTTCTATTTTAGCCTCTTCTCGCTTTTTCTATGGGATTTTTTTCTCATCCAAAGGATTTATGTTTGCTTTTTTTTCCAGGCACGTAGGGTCATTATCCACCCAAGGTCACTTTAAAATCAATCCTTGGCTGCAGATATTTTGGTCTGTCTAAGGAGTTTGAACTTTGGCAAAAATCTGTGGTTAGAAACTATCAAGGAGCTATTTCCCCATTTTTTTCCTTGCTTGTTCACTGGAGCTTTTAAAATATATTCTGACACTTCATCTATCATTTTTAATTATTTTTGATGAGCAGAACCTAGTCTGCCATAATGCCAAGAAAATAAGGAGTCCACTCTCATACACTGATGGTGAGATTACAAATTAGTGTACAAGCACATCGGGAAGGAAAGTGTGGTTAAAAACTCTCAGAAATTAGAAACGTCCCTACTGTTTGATTTCCAATTCCACATTTAGAAATATTTTTACAGATATACTCACCCAAGTGCACAATATTTATTTCAAAGATATTTACTTATGTGTCATGTGAACTAGCAAAAGATTATGAAAAAAAAATGACTACTGGTAAAAGACAGATTATGTAAATCATTGCACTTTCAGACATTGTACTAATAGGTAACTATAAAAAAATACATACTACTGCATTTTGGTTACTAAGATGTACTGTTAGGTGAAGCAGAAATCTGCAGAAAAGTGTGATTCGGAAGTTACAAACTGTGTATAACTAAGTGGCTGAATTTACCCTCTCTAGAATTTAAAACATGTTCATATATCCTTAAAAAATAAAGACATTCATTAAAAGAAAATGCAGTTTCTTCCTTTTCCTGTCATATTATTTTTTGTTAAAATGGGCATTGAATTTCTGAAAACTGCCTTTTTAGCATCTTTACTTATTATCATGTATTTTTCCTTTAATTCATTATTTAACACTAAATTAATACTTTAGATTATCTTATTAAATTTTCTAATACTAAACTATTCTTCCATTTTCAGAATAAAGCTACTTGGTAGTATTGAATTATTATTCTAACATACTGCCAAAATTTTATCTAGTCCATCTTTAATTATGATTTCTACATTTATAGTAAAAATGAAATTAATCAATATTTTAATGTTGAGATTATAGTCTTATATTTTAGAATTTGGATTATCCCTGAAAGAAGAGATTGAAAACATTGCTAACTTTTCCTACAGTACAAATATTTAAACAACCTAAGAACTATCTGGATTTTGAAGTTTTTAATTAGACCCAGCTAATAATAAATTTGGTACTAGTAAATATTATTTTATTCTTTCTTTAATTTCTTCTATTGTTTGTATTCTTTCAGGGTTTTTTATGGAGTGGGTTGGGAAAATTTTTGTAATTTGCATTTTTTCTGAAAAACCATTCATATTATCCAGTATGATACTCTGTACTATATGTATTTTCTTTATTAATTCATAAGATGAACAAATTTTAAGTGTATAACTCAATAAATGTATTTGTATGTAAACACCCATGTAACATCCAGATAAAAGAACATTGAGATACAGTACGTTTCTATCACTCCAAAAAGTCAATAGTCTTTGCAGCCAGTGGCCACCCAGCTCCTAGAATATAACCAAATTTTTAAATTTCTATCATCATAGATAACTTGTGAGGATACTACTATCATTGTGAATGGTGGGGAAAGGCAAGCATTCAGACAGGCTTCCCTTCGTGACT